TTATACCCTATTAGATAATTTCACTTTAAAATCAAATTGTTTGTCCTGCCCAGAGGTCACTAAATTGAATATTACCAGTTTGTTCCCTTTCTGGCTTTTCTTCTTGTGAAAAAGCATTCTGGTCAGATTTAAGGACAAATAAGCTGCTACCAACTGCTCCCTCTAAGATATACCTGTGGAGCACTAGCATGCCAAATGGAGATCTTAAAGCTGTAATGTTCTAACTACTTCTTCTCATGCATAGTCCATTCTCTAGTGTCCTTCTGAACTGTTTAAACATAGCCAAGGAGAATAGCAAAAAGGTTTAGCTTTTAGCCAAACACATCTTTGATTTTCTGTGGAATAGTCATGGCAGGATACTCAACAATTTTAGTTATCAAGTAATTATTAATTATAACTAATAGTTTAATTAAAGAGGCATAATAGATAGCACTGGTTTAATTGTGTGGAAATAGGAGGTTAAGGCAGAAGAGAGAGGTAGTAAGAAGAGGGATAATTAACACTAAAGACCTTCTGAAAGAGACATTTGGAAACCTATATAGATGTTTCTTTCAATATATACATATACAATATACAAAGAGTTTAAATGCAGTTATGTGGTATCAGGGGTCAGTGACCCCAATAAGCACAGGCTAGCAAACAAAAAACAAAATACAAGGAATGATTTCCCTCTTTTGGAGATGTTGACCAGATAGATCCCATAGATCCTCACAATAACTAATACCATTGTACTTGGTTACACACCAGAGCTTGATGGCAAGACTCTGTTGCTAAAACACTACATACCTGAGTCACAGCACAAATAAGAAAAAATCAAGTTGGTACTGACCTCTAAATTTGATCTCTGCCTATTAGCTTTTGTAATAGTAAAAGGTACTATGCATGTTGCAGGATGAGAAAGGTAATCATCAACCCTACCCAAATGTGAACCATGTGAGCTATAACACCTTCTTGGCAAAATATGCCCACTGGTACAATAATGGAACAAATATTATGGGAGTAACCAACCACCTTCTCCACTGTATTTAAGGTTCACTTAACATGGTGGAGTCTATACTTGATATTGTTATCAGGTCAAGAACCTGGGGCTGAATAGGTCACAGGCCATAGGGGAGAACCTACGACTATTATTCTAAGAAATAGACATAACATTCAATTGACTCCAAATGGTTTGTTATATCCATAGATTAATGCATCTCTCAACTCTGACCAGATAAGGTTCTTCTTGCAGCAGACGGGTATTGATACAGAGACCTACAACCAATCAAAGTACAGAGAATAAGAGAAGACATACTCAGCACTTAATGGGACATCTATATCGCTCACTGTCCTCCCAAAGGCTCAGGGGTCATTGTGTAAGAGGAGGTAATAAATTTATAAGGGGTGGTAAATAAATATAAGGAAACTGTAGCTTATGGACACCACAGGATAGTTGCTTGTATAAATTCATAGCACTTATGATAACATGCACAAGACCTATGCAATCCCAAGCTGCATGAGGGTCTGTTGGATGGGGGAGTTGGGCAAAAAGCCTCAGCCCTAGCTGATAACCTACTGGCAATTGATAGAAGCTGTGAGAGAGAGGGTCAGTTTTCCTTACTAGTGTGATTCTGATACGTTGGGCAGTCTCCAAGAGGTAGACTCACACCCAAATGCATTTAGGAAACACAGATCGGGTTTGATAGGCTTTTTAAAAAGACAAAAATAATAGAGAACAGAAAGACAAAGTCAGGTGGGGTAAAAAGGGGGAGGGGTCTGATTATGATCAAAATGCATTGTATGAAATTCTTAAATCAATAAAAGTACTTTTAAAAGATGTAGAAACTTGGAAAAGAGTTGAAATATATAAGAAAAAGTTTGTGCAAGTGTGTATAGGAACTCAATCCAGGGCAGAAAGGGAAAGTACTCAGAAGACATGATGGATTGGATGGCTGGAACCGTCAATGTAGCAGAGATTTTTTTCCCATTCTTCAAGACATGAGGGAAAGAGATAAGTAATGAAAGGGCAAATCTAGTCACTTCTTTTGTGAAAAGATTATTAATAATGGAAAGTTTTACCTTTAAATAATATAAAAACAAAAAGTGAAAACATGTTGATTGGGTTCAATCTGGTGTTGTAATTATTTCAGTTCTCAGAATAACATTTGAATAAACTAATCATGAATGGTTAAAGAGACCAGCCTGCCCCACCACTTATTTTTTTTGTGTGTGGTTATTTCTAATAGTTGGTCAACATATCTGTGCGTGGGTCTGTACAAATATGATTGTACCTCAACATTCAATAGTCATTTATTTCTTGTACAAAATATCACACGCTGCAAACATGGGTTTTATGTATTAATGTGACTAAGCTGTGATGCCTCCTTGTTTGGTCAAATATCTATCTAAGGATTAATGTGTAGGTATTTTTATATGTGAATTATGTTTTGAATAAATAGATTCTGAGTAAAGTGTATTGCTCTCCATAACGTGGGAAGGCTTTGTGCAATCGTTTGAAGACTTTTAGAACAAAACTGTTGTCTCCCAGGAAAGATGCAATTTTCCTCAAGAATGCAACACATACAACACAGAAAATCTACCTCTTCATCCTGGTGCCCCAGGCAATTGGGAATTGAAGACTGCAATATTAGCTCTTAACCGAGTCTCCAGTCTGTTAGCCTGCCCAATGGATTACAGACTTGCTATTATCTCTTGAGCCAATATCTTAAAAACAGTCTGTATAACTATGTTCTCTCTCTCTCACTCTCTCTCTGTCTCTCTCCTTCCTCTTTCTCTCTCTCCTATCTCTCTTTTTATCCATAGAATTCAATCTAATAACTTCTCAGAGGATGTCTTTAGCTCCTGCAATGCAATTTACATTTACCCTTAGACCACTTCCTAGGAAAATAGAAGAGAAATAATGGTCTATTTCCATAGCTTTGGGTCACTTAACATGCATACACTTGCTTGAAAATGATTATGTACATAAAGTCCCTTTTTTAACAGGCACTTTCCAAGACTAAGTCCTCATCTGTTAATGACTAAAATTATCTACATGTCTTGTTCTCCCTTCTTCTATCCAACAGCATTGGTTTTATCTCACAGGAACACCTATGTCTACAGGTTATTCTAATAGTGACATCAATCCTGAAGTTAGATAGTATCTAAATAAGATAAAATCCTACCTTCACAGTACTCAGTGCTGAAAGCCCTTCACAATTAGATCTGCCCACCCTGCTGTCTCCTTAGTTCTTGGTTATAAATTCTGTACTCTAGTCAATCTAAATTCTATATGTTGCTTAATGTAGAGTCTAGTTGCACTCTATTTTTTTTTCCTACTTGATCTCTATAATGGTCTTATTCTGTTTGCTCTTCTAACTACTTAAATCCTACCTGTGACTGAAAACCTGTGATTTAATATAAGCCTAAGAATTCCCTGGTCAAGAGTAAAGACTGCTGTATTTGAATGCAGTAGCTGTTATAGACCATCATAAACTCATGGAATTTCAGTGAAAGAATATCAGGATTATCTGCTCCAGGCATTATCAAGGGTACTAAACACCTTTAAAATTGTCTTAACAGTGGTGGTTCACTCCCTCCTCCACAATTATAATGAAAATAAAATATACCTTCTGCATATTCCACTTTATAAACAACTCTAAATTCTCAAAAGCTCATCCCTTAAGCCATACTTGGCAGAAAACATCCAGGTAATGGAGTATTTACTGTGAATCATAATTTACAATATGACGTGTTAATATATGTCACCATATAATCTGTAAAAACTATTACTCTGCTGGGTTTTGTGGTATGTGCCTGTAGTACCTACTACTTGGGAAACAGATACAAAGTAATAACCTGAGTCTCCAAATTCAAGGCCAGCCTAGGCAACATAGGGAGATCCCACTAAAAACAATGTTTATTGCATCATAGCAATCCCCACCCCAAAGTGTCAATAGGAACAATTCATATAGTCAGGGTTTTGTCTTCTTTGTGTTACTTTACTATTATTTAATGTCTTCTAAATATACTGCAGTTTGACTGAATGGTATACTCATTTAGATAGATACTTTTAAATTGATCTCACAAGCTACTTTACATTTGTCCGGGCTTTATTCTCTATCAAATGAGATTAGAGTCTCATAGTGGTTGGACACTGTCTTTACAGTCACTTTTCCTTCATTTATACTGACTTAGATCAGTGAAAGTAACAGATATTCCTTTCCAATAATTTCTGAGTTAAACTTAAGAAATTATGTAAATAAGCAAAAATGTGTCCAGAAGGAAATATTTTTAAAACCCTTTGTAAGACCTGTGAATATTGCTTAATGGTAGAGTAAGTCTGAGATCCTGAATTCAATACCAAAGGCTGAAAAAGAAGTCTTTGTAGAATCCAATTTCTAGATTGAGTCCTACAGAAAATATGATTTTTTTGAGTTTCCTTTTTCTTAATGTTATTTTACTTTTTTATTTACTTTTGAAAATATATGTCTATTAACAAATGACAGCACAGCTTATTCAAGAAAAGATATGTCAACATTTTCTTTTTAACTTAAAATGTGTTTGGGGAATTATATTGACAGATGTAGACACTCTAAAATAATTTTGTAGCTCTTCATCTTGAGGGGGGACCAAGGACTAGCTCCCTAAGAGGTTATCTATTCCCAAATTAGCATCCCTAAACACAGGTACACATAAACTCCACTAAATGGACTCAATACATTATATTTATATGTGGATATATATGTAACAATAATCAAAGAAGAGGACAAGAAATTGAGATGGAGTGGGAGGGGGGACATGGGAGGAATTGGAGGGGCTGTAGAGTGGTAGAAATAATGCAACTACAATGCTCATGCATGAAATTCTCAAATATAAAATAAAATTTTAAAAATAATAAAATTTGTAAAAGTTCTTGAAATAGGATTCTAAAGCAAACACACTAGACAGTTTTTCATATTAAGAGCCAGCTAGAACTACAATTTAGAACAGACTTGCAATACTGCTTGATTTTACCTTGGTCTTTATTCCACTTTCATATAAACAAATTTGAATTTACTGCTTCTAGCTTTGCAGAGAACTAAGCACAGGGTTGCTCTGGATTGTTTGTACCCTTTCATCTGCATCCCTGATCAGAGATAGAGGGAGTCTTTGTATGTCTTCTTCACCCTTTTGCAAGTTAATGACCTGAAAAGAAAAGACACAGAATATGTAATATATAATTACAAGAAATGGTATCATCTGGGAATGTGCTAGAAGAATAAAACACCAATTTAGCTGATCTCAAAAAGAGAGTACATAGATAAGTAACTGACAAGGCAACAGACAAGAAGATCTACTGAGCTTTCATTTCCATATCTTACTTTGCTTTATTAAGTTTTATGGTAAATTTTTTAAACATCTTTTGTGTGCTAATAATTTACTTTTGCTATGTGATGTTTTCCTAAAATGTTCACCAACAATTTATCTAAAAACATAGTCAATGAAACTTCTCTTTTAATAATCCCCAAGTGAAAAACTACATTTTTTGCATGGATAACAGAGTGGAAGGAACATGCAAAATGTCACCAATCCTCCACTTTAATGTTCTAAAAATGCCATTTCCCCATGACCTCATTGCAGAGAAGAGAGACAATGGCTCCTCAGCTGAGGTTAGGGCCTCTTCTCCACCTCCCCACTATTTTGTTGGGATTTTGTCTCTCTTGAGTTTGTGTAGGTCTTGTGCATGCTGTCACCATTGCTGTAAGTTCATATGAGTAACTTCCCAGCTGTCTGGAGAACTCTGTTTTCTTGTGTTCATGAACTGCCTCTGGCTCTAACAAACTTTCTGCCCCTTCTTCTACAATGATTCCCGAGTCTAGGGTGGAAGAAGTGTGATATCGATGTCCTATCAAGGAATAAGTAAGTATGCTTCAGTCTCTTATTCTCTGCATTTTGGCCAGTTGTGGCTTTCTGAGTTAATCACCATCTGCTGCATGAGGAAGCTTTGCTGATGAGAGTTGAGAGATTAGTATTCTTTCTGCCCCCGTTCCACTATGTTCCTTGAGCTTGTTGTGTAGAGTTTACATTGTAGATCGATCAATTACAATCATTTCTTCTTAGCCTTGGCCTTTTTCTTTTTTATTTAGTAGCATAGCTCCTATGTTTGTTAATAATTGTCACTCTTTTAGAATTGTAGCCTCTAAATATGCCAGGATGTCTCAAACATTATTCTTTCATTTGACTCCAAATCATGGTTCATCAGTCTCTTTTTGGATAGTTCTCTTTAACTCTCAGCTGGGAGGAAAACATTTCTACAGAGTTGCTGTACATTCCTAAAGAAAAATAATGATGACAATCATTATCCCTATAGACTTCTTTTCAAGACACACAGAAACAGTCCTTGTGTACTCTTGGAACCACATGGCTCAGTTGTTGCTGTATCCATGTATATCTGTGTGCATATGTGTGTGTATGTGTGTGTGTGTACACCAATAGCTCACAACTTATGATGATTCAGTTTATAGTTTTTCATCTTTAAGAGAGCTTATGAGCAATCTATACATGATAAAATTTCAATATGATATGAATTTCAATTTTTTCACCAGGCTTGCGGTATGTTACTGTCTTATAATGTTGGACAACAGCAACAGAGAAATACAAAACACCAGGATTGAAATAAGATGATAAAGGCAAATATCTGAATAAATAAAAGGCACATAGCACTCAGGATATGTGCTTCCAAACCAGTGATATTTAAGCAGAAATTGAATGAAGTCCAAACCATGGTGCTGTCTGAGTGAAGCCCACGGTACACAGAGGAAGTAATGAGTGCATTGAATCTAGTTCAAATGTTTTTTTAAAACAAATGATAAAGAGTTTAGCTGGAAAAAAGTGGTCTACCCTAGGCTAGTGGATTCTTGCTCTCTTGGGCTACAAAGTAAGATCACTGTCTCAAAAATAATTTTTTTAAAAGTACAGAGAAGAAAAGGGAAAAAGAATCAGAAATAAATTAGGAGTAACCAGTTGTTTTTTCTCTTTCATGTAGATTACTTGTTCCACAGACTGAACTTTTTCATCATAAGCACTTTGGACATTTTTCTATCAAAGAAATTGCTTTAAATTTTAATATAAGGAAGAGATATGGTTTAATTTACAAGTTAAGTATCTGCATTGCATTGATATTTGAGGAATAGACTACAAGCCTTGAATGAACAAGGCTTCTAACACTGAAATACTTAGCTTCAGATATATTTTAAGGTTTGAGCTGAAAAGATTTAGAGAAAGATTAATCTAGGATATGAGAAAATCTGTCAAATAATCATTAAAAGACATTTGATTTATATAAAAGTCCAAAGAAACTTTGTAAGGAAAAGTTTTCTGGTAAGTATTGAGAACTTAGAATCGAAAAAATGCAGTCTCTGGATTCCCATGAGATACTAAAATGAGCTATCACTTAGACAATTAGATATGAATTGATTCTGAGGGAAGAGTTCAACTCAGGAACCTTAAATGTGGAGATTAATAGAATACAGAAAATTTATAGCAAAGAGAAAATGCAAGATGTAAATTCTGTGGTGCAGGGCCTTTTGAGTTAAAATTGAAACTAGTTGAGTGGTTAGTGATATTTTCAAGATATAAGAAAGCAAGTAGTCAATTAAAATTCATAACACAATAACAGCAAACATCGTAAGAAAACCTAAACTATTACACAGAAGAACAGAAGAGTAGGTTATCTGTCAAAGGTGAGCTCATTATCGCACTATAGCAACCCCCAACTAGTTTAAAAATCATCTATAGAGTTAGGTTCTACTTTGAGAACTGTTTTCCTAGAAAAGCTAGAGTGGGTATGTGGTAGATCAGGGCATAAAGCAATACAGTGGTGGAGGTGGTCACATACAGGTTTTACAGATGCGAAACTGTGCTTTCCCAAACTTGAGATCCTAGGTTATAGAGTCATATTCTTCCTCAAGTCTAGAGTCTTCCAGTATGGCAGTTAGTGGTATGTATGCAGAATAAAATATAAATATAAAAAGTCTTCCATGGAAATAGGTTAAAAAGAAGTTCAGGCTTTGCTCAATCATAGGGTTATCATTTGTGCAGGTAATACGCCTAATCTATCAAACATGATAACAGCCCACTGTGTAATATTGGTTGTTTGCCCTGGTAATCGCTTCCTGGAATCATGACAGAATATCATCACATCCACATATCAGTAGCTTGGAAAGAGATCAAAATTCAAAGTTTCACATATATTGAATGCATATTCTTTGTCTACCATCACAAATTTAAAAAACTGTATGTTTACTCATTGTAAGTTAGAGCTCATCTGCAGTCATTAAGAGATCTTCTGAAAACACAGGTTCAACTAATCCCCAATGCAGTGGTCTCAGGAGCAAAACACCCAAATACAGCAGGATGCCTCCCTCTGGTCAATGAAAGGCAGCTCTAGCTCTAGTCAGAAAGTAGTCTTGATAAGTACCTAAAAAGATACAATTTTGCACCCAACAAATACTTGTTTTAGACTATGGAAAGTAAATGGAATGAATGAAAAAATAATAACAAAACCGGTGACAGGTCGTGAGTCTCAAGGTCTGTACTTTAAATTTATCTTCTAATGTGTATGTGAGCTTGAACGAATCCTTAAGCCTTACTTTTGAAAAAGTCAGATCACCAGGAAAAGAAAGTGCCACTCATTAAGAAAAAGAACTAAGAGAAGCAAATGAAACTGAAGATGAAAATACTTCCTAAATCTGGATCGATACAAATGAAATCCACAGTGCTTGTTAAATGGAATCATTGAAATAAATGTAAATTACTGGGTCAAGGAAAAATTATGGTTTGGGAGAAAAATCATGGTTTTAGTAATAATCCTTCCTGGAAGAAAAAAAAGTAATGGGAATTAATTATAGCTAATGAAGGGTTCTAAACTTGGTTTATGTTATCAATGTCAGAAGGTTTACCTAATAATATGAAAATGAAAAGTGGTCATAAGAAAACACCATATTTTGGACATTTTTATTCCCTATTTTTTCTTGTTTATTTTATTTTTCCTTTTTCCTCTATACAATGAAGCATAAAATAATACTGTGATAAACTACTATATCTCAAAATATATATAATAAAATATAATAAAGTAACATATACTAAATGATTTCTGATAGTTACATTATACCTCTCATATTTAATTTATATGTTCTTCCCACAATTTACCCTTTTTCAGCCTTTACCATTTATAATTTATTATATTTCTAATGAATTGAATCTCCTCAGTTATACATGGTTTTCACAAATGCTTGGTAGCTATCCTGTTATTTTCTTTAGGAGTAGTTTTTGAAAGAGAGATTTTTAAACGTGCTTCTAATAAATGCCTCGCACCCTCAGAAATGTCTCCTGAGATGCTGTCCAAGTGAATGCCAGGGAAGAAGATTTAATGATCTGTCCCTTAAGATATTTTTGTTGGTTCACAGAAATGAAGGAAGTCTACAATCATCCCTTTATTAAATGCTTGTGTCATGCTTTGTTACTGTTGATGGTTTAAAGAAGGCAATTTTCAAGAATTCAAACTTTCTTCTCTTTGCTACAATTCTCATTTAAAAAGTGTATTCTGATCTATGCTCTTCAGTTGTTAAAAGTCATTATGTGTGCATATACATAAACATCAAATCCAGTGTGCCTTCTCTGCTTTAAAAACACAAATTTCACTTCCTCTTTTACTTACTTAACTGTATGATAGCTAGCATTTGTATATACAACTAATAATTTATTTCATCCTATTATTTCATTTCCAAAAATATTTTATCAGCATTATATACATTTTTAAATTTTTGTATTCCAAACTATATTCTCAGCATTCGATTTTGAGGACGAAAAAGATAATAATCATGTCAGCAAAAGATATACATAAAGATCAGTCAGTCATGGGCATGGAGATGATTAATCAATGCTTCAATATGATGCATTGACCAGCATGTGGCTTGGGACTGTGTCCTAATCTCTTGTTTAAGCATTCTGTATGGCTTGGGATAAGAACAGCACATACCCATGCTTCCATATTATGAAATAAGAGTAGGTGAGCTTATGAAAATTGTACCTATGAATCTACAAATTGAATACATACATCCTGAAAATTAGATCTGTTTGATTGCAAACAAAAGAAATTGTCTGGCTACCCTAAGCAGAAATGAAATCTATTCAAGGATGTTGGC